CACTGAGCTGCATGGCTCACTCTTCTCTGGGGTTCATATGCTGCCTGGGTGCTTGAGTAGCAAAACCACAGACATTGGGGGACCTGTTGCTCACCGCGAGTAGCAAGAGTGAACAACACCCAAACTACTCCAGATACTGAAATGTCTTTTTGTGGTCTGTCTGTTAAACAAGTCCCGTGAAGGCTGGACCCGCAGAGTCACCGAGACAGCTGCATCGGTCTCCTCCTCACTTTGCAAATGATTTTGTTCTGAAGATGGACATGATAGAAAAGATTTAATGACTGAAATAATGGAAGAAAGATGGGCTGAAGGAAAGGCAATAACCAAACCCAGTGTCACCAGTGAAGCTTGCACAGCATCAAGACCTGTCTATGTAGCTTCCAAGGTGTTCTCTTCCCTGCTGTGTCCTGCAGTCTTTTACACTGCTCAGTGTGGGTTTGCTTTTATTGCTGGCTTAAGATTCTCCTGTATTTTCATATATGCAACCTGCAGGCTATTGGTTAAAAAAAAATCAAAACAACAAGCAAATCCTCTGTAATCCAGGGCACATGTGGATTTTGTTTCTTAAGTGCTCTGTCCTGTTTATCCCACCAACTCTCCCCTTTTCCCAGCGCCTTCCCTCCTCTACAGCCTCTGCAGCCCTGGCCATGGTGCCAGCAGATGGAGCTGCAAGATCTCCGGCACTGCTCTGGGAAGACTGGGACCAGTGACCCACCAGGACTGGGATGGGCCAGCGTTCCCCAGATGGGGGATGCCATCCCCTCCATCCCTGTGACCAGCTGTTTCCCTGTAGTGTGGTCTCCCCAAACCATATCCTATGTGGGTAGGGTTCTGGTCTGTGGATGGACTGGTCTCTCGCTGTGATTTTCCAGTCTGAGAGCACTGGAGAAGCACACATGGTGCAAAGTGCATGGCCTCAAACACCTTCTGGTCCCCAGCTCTGTCTGGGGGACAGTGGTGCCACAGCAGCAGAGCTGGGGACCAGCATGGTGCCACCAGCAGGGACTTCCCCAGGAAGGAGAGCCAGCATGACCTGTGCCCCTTGGAGTGAGTATCAGCGATGTCCCGAGCATTTTTTTTTTCAGGGAAACAGTGGCTGAGGGAGTGCTTGGGACACAAAGGGTCTCATATCTGAATGGACCCATCTTTCTGGAGGAGGTCTCTCCTTGCTCGGGGAGGCTGAGGCTGAGTGGCTCTGCTGGGGAGGAGGAGGCTGAGCCTGCAGCCTGGACCAACTCCCTTCCCCCCTGCACGGCTCTCCCTGCTCTGGGAGCAGCCCGCCCTCTCCCTGCCGGCATTATGTCATGAAGCAGAGACATGGCCAAGTTTCTTGCTGCCATTGCCCATAGCCCTCTTCTTTCCATGCTGAGGTTTTCCCAGCCCCAGTCATCACGTCTGGCTGTCTGCAGCCTCCCCAGCCACCCATCTGCTGAGGGGGAACTCCCTCGCCTCCGCCTGGGAAGGCAGCTCTAGTGGAGACCACATCCCTGTGGGTGTCCTTATTTTCTTGCTTGGGTTTCTCTCCAATTTTACAAGGGCAGAGCCATCCTTTGCTCCCCTGCAATGTCTTCTGCACACATCCCAGGGTCCCCCATGCACGGCTTTGCATGCATACACTGCTCTTTCCCTGGTCTGCGCCCTTCCTCTGTCTCTTGCTGGTCTGTCTCCTCCTGCTCTGCGTGCATGTCCTCTCCATCACGCAGACCCTTCATACCCTCCCCATTACTCAGAGACACCCATGCATACACGGGCTTCTCATCCACGGCCTTGTTTTTGGGGTCCTTCCAGGATACCCCTCTCTGTCATGCAGTTGTACCCATCTCCCACTTGTTTCTTAGCAAACTGCCCTTAAAGTGCTGCTTTTCATGGCTCTTGGCACTTTTGGAGCCCAGAACAAGCCCCCACAGCTCAGCATGGCCCCTAGGGATAGTGAGTAGTCACTGGCTCTCCAGCTGGTGTGGTGACAGCAAGCTCATCCTGGGGAACGGGCTGAGGGATGGTCTCTTTCCCCATGGTCCTGGGCAAGTG